TATGTTAGTCTGGTATATATATATCACAACGTGACGGGGACAACAATGTGTGTAGGTAGTGAGTAATTGATCTGCAGTGAGAAAGTATTGCTGAAGTTAACGTTCGTTATAGCGTTTGTTTTAGCGCGAATGTTGAAATCAAGTGTATCGTGAAGTTATATTCAGAAAGAATAAACCAGTTTTATTAAGTAAGGACTTGTGTCGTTAAAGTTTCGTCGGAACGAAGTTACGGAAAGTTAATTAACAAACGGAGACGTAACAGTAGTGTTACAATGTGTTCTATCATTGGGTAAGTTATTTTGGAATATTTGATAAAAAATAATAACATTATATATAGACTGTGTTCATTATAGGACGAATTTCACAATCAATGTTTCAACAAAATTTGAAAGCTAATGTTTGCCTAACTTACAAATAAAGCTTAAGTCACTTGCTTGCAAGAATTCCTCACTAACTTATCGATAACAAACATGGTGACTGACTCACTGATTGGCTTACTAACTCGATCACTGACAAAAAAATGCAATAACTCTCACTATCTAACTTATTAACTGACACTGAACTGATTAAATCACTCAGACTGGCATTTTTATATTGTACTAGTTTTCTTTGTACTACAGGAAGTTTCAAGGTTCTACAGAGACCTAAACTTTCATGAGTTTTCTATAATCATTACATCATGTAATAAAAAATTCCCTCTAGTGAACAAAAACATTTTATAAAAATATAACCCATAACCAGTACATTCAGTTTAATAACAAATAAAAAACATAATTAGTTTATTACAAGTTACAGCTTTCACAGTAAGGAAAAAAACAAGTACAATGTATCAATCACTGGTGCAATCACTCTCAAGTACACAAGGCTTAAAGGTAAAGAAAAATTTAATATCAAATGTAATTGTTAAAATATAAATATTGAAATATTTGCCATAACATAAGCTCATGGGAGCATTTTCTACAATGCAAAATAATTTTTTTTTTTTTTTCTCATTAGAGATTGTAAAAAGATATGTGGAACAAAAAATTTCTTTTGCTGATAAATGTAAACATCCTTATTTAGTAACTGGGTGAAAATATTTTAAGACTTATTTATTATTAGAAATGTATAATGATAATGCTAATTTACCCTCGAATACCAATTCTACTTCATTTGGTTCAGTGTTGTTAAATTTTTTTTGGTTTTTTGGAATCCTTTCCAGTGATCTAATGACTCAATGTTTAATTTTGTTATTCGTTCCTGTTTTAAAAACTGATTTAATTTTACTACTGCTTGTAATATGGGACAGAACAGCACACACACACCAACTTTGAAAAATTAAAGTTCAATAAAAATAAAATTCGATATATAATTCAGGCTATCCTAAATTATAATCACCCTGAAATTAAAGAACATTTCTTCTTTTATTAAACTAATTCTACTCTTATCTAATGTTTCAATAAACAGTCTTTTATAATAAGGGTTATGAGAATTTCCAATTTATGATATACATTTAATTTATAGCAGGAAACAAAAATATGACCAATTAAGTTTTATGCGCACTAACTGTAGATAGAACTTATTGAAAAAAGTTGAGAATCAAGTCTCAAGTTATGCAGTAATATTAAGAAAACAAAAATGTAATATTTGTAATCACAGCTTTGATTAAACTGTTTTTTCTTTCACCTTGAGTTCTGAATTTTTCTACTCTAAAGAACGTACTCCTCTCTCATTTCTTCATGTGAGCATAAAAAAATTTATTTGTGCTCATATTTCATTTAACTCATTACCTTTGTTTATTTTTAAATTATTTTTAAGAAGATACTTTCTATCATTATAGGTGATTAAGTTTATCTGTTTTTATAGGTCTTTTTTAATAACATGCTGGATACTCCTATGTTACCAAGAGAAATTTTAGCCACAGTTTTTGAATCATTTAAAAGCAACTTAGTATCTCCTGAGAAGCAAGAACTATTTGAAAAATGGTACTTCCTTGATGAAAATGCAAATCCATCGTGTTACTTCCTTCGGCCAGTGAGTGAACACTTGCCGGGCATACTTGAAGAATTACAGGATGTCAGACTTGAGGCCATTGAAGTGTGGAGAAAAGAAGCAAATGAGATGCTAGAAACCTTAAATTCAAACTTAGAAGAGAAAGAAAAATATTTATCGACAGGTTTGGTATTGGTTTATGTTATTTCTCAACACTTGGTTTTTTGGAGTGCTAAAGCTTAGTTCTTAATTCACATATTTCATTTTACTATTTTATCACTTCATAAAAATGCGACAATTTCAATATTGTTATAAGCTATATTTTTGATGTTGTAATTTATTTGTTAGTTAGAGGATGTATGATGATGCAAGTAAGTTTATGGAAGTATGCTTAGAATATTCTAAATTGACATCAAGAAACTTACTGACTTTGCAAAATAGAATTCTTAAATGTAAATACAGGTGAATCAGTCAATAAGCTAAGTAAGGTTACAGAGTGAATCGTTGAAGCATGGATAGATTAACCAATCAAAGAGTGTTTTGTTTTCAGTTACATGATCGATCATTCACAAAGTTGCACGAGTAAGTTTACTTTTTTACTTTAGTTGAGGTATTTCTATTTAAGCTCCATTTGTAACATTACTTAGGCTTACAAGTTACAACGAGCCTATAAAGAAACATTAAGGAGGAAATAAAATAATTTGTTATTGTGACATGGAATAGATTTTGAATTACTTACACCGGATAATTTAAATAAGCCCACCAGTGGAAGACATATATATGCCAAGTGTTCTATATAAAGCAACATAATATTGTTTCTTGAATATTTTTTTGTTCTTAAATTAAACATTTTTCTTTGCAAACAACTCTTGAATTCTAAATTTCTAAAAAAGTATATCTTCTTTGGTTTCAGTCTTAGAAGAAGAGTTAAAAATGGTGATTTTTGATGATCCCTCAATGGCTAAGTGTAGTTTATGGCTTCAACGAAAGTATACTCACAATCCTAAGGCTGAAAATGTTGAGGAGAGTGCTCAACTGAATGTTAGCCTTGTGGAAAGCACTGCTTTAAAGTTGAAAGCTCTGCAACTGAATTTAGATGAATATTTTCCCGAGTCACAGAAGCTGGTATTTCATGTTAAGTGGCATGATGGCAGCATTAATCCCAAAATCATACCAGATCATGAAGAATACTTGAATGAGTTGTGCACAACTGTGAAAAGTGAGCTTTGTAAGATTATCAATGGGATCTATGAAGAAGATATTATGGAGGAAGCCCATCAGCCTTACAAAGGTAAGTTTGTTTTATAACTGCAGTATGATTATTTTTAGATTTGGTAAAATGATTTAATGCTAAATGATACAATGTTTTTTCCATCTGCAATAAGAGTATAGATTATGATTGAAAAAAAGGTAAGGTGTAGTTACTTGCCTCACAATTATGTATGTGCATTTTTATTGCTTCATAGGAAGGGTGGCCAGACAGTTCGCTACTGAACATTTCACACCCTGATATTTCGCTACCGGTTTTTTCATTACTAGGGTATTTCACTACCAGGTCATTTTGCTACCTGATAATTTTATGTTATAATCTCCCTTACATATCTTATTTAAGATTATAAAATAAAAATATTTGATCAGTATTAGTTACTTAGACAAACAGTGCAGTCAGTAAAATATTATAAAATATTTGTAAATATTTCTTCAATATTAGTTTATTAGAAAAACACTCCTTCAAAGTAAAAAAGGCTCTTATGTTGTAAAACATTTTAATTAAAATGATGAAAGATCTGAACTTTTTAAAAATGATTCAAACTTTCCTCGATTAGTTGTCGAGCCATAATGAGTTATTTATACGTAGCTGTAACAGGTAGCGAAATGACCTGGTATCGAAAAGACCTGTAGGGAAATGTCCAGGAACAAACTATCCTAGAATCCCTAGGAAGATTTAATTAAAAAAAATATATAAAAATATAATGAAACAAGCAATTACTTAAAAGTATAAACTGCATTAAATTACAGTTTTGTTTTAGTGCCTCTAGGATGTAAACGTAAATATCAAGACAGTAATTTGGGTTTGAAATCTTGCAAGCCCTGAAGGGCTTGCGAGACAACCTGGAGTGCTCAGAAACTGTTAGTTTCTCTTCAGCCCCTACCCGTGGATTAAAGGTTGGACTTAATTGGTTCGATTTTATGTCATTGAGAAGAACTATCACACATTTTAAAATTAAGTGGTGAGTGAAAGATTATCTAGCTAATTATCATCACAGCACTGGGAGAAAGCCACTAAGAAAACTGAAAAAACGAAAGCTGAAAGAAGTGAGTTTGACTTGAAGTAGAATGATCAATTAAGTTTTTTTTTAATTTAACTCACTTGTATCTAATAAAAGTAACAAAATAATGCTTATAGTAATTGAAAAGTAGACTAGTTGGGTCTATGAAAAATACTTATGTCATCAATAGATTATGGGGAGGAGTAGTAAACATACCTCTTCTAAGAGGTAAGAAAAACATGTATACTAAAGAATAAAAGATTTGTACAATTGTTTAAATTTCATTTCTACAAGTCCAATAAATTATTTTTTCTAAATGTAAGAAGTCATTAACTAGGAATGACATATAAATTAAAATTTTTCCAGTGTTGATTATTGAAATCTACACTAGTGATTAGGAAAAAATTAAAAATTACTTAAAATTTCATTTCAGGTATAGAAAATCCACTTTATACTGAACTTGTACAGCAAGCAGCAACATGTAAGGCCCTCCTTTCCTCATTTGTTGGTCGTCAAGAACTTTTGGCAAAACTCCGAGAATACGTCATCTCAGATTCAACCCACCCTTTTATTATCTATGGTCCTGCTGGCTGTGGTAAAACTGCACTAATGGCCCAGGCTTCACAGCTGTGCTCTGATTGGGTACCTACTGCTCCTGTTATTGTCCGCTTTATTGGTATGACCTCAGAATCTAAGACATTAGAACAAGTTTTACGAAGCATTTGCGAACAGGGCTGTGCTCTCTTTGGAGAGCATCCATCTTTAGCATCTAAGGTGAGTAAAAGTAAATCAAATTCAATCATATTTCTGTATTCTTTCATCTACTTTAATCTTATGGTGAGAAGTTAATGTTTATAAAAACTAAATCATGTAGCCTGGAGCACTGTGTGCAGGTAGAAAATATAAACAGTTTTCCAAAAACTAAGTATTCTAAGTAGAAGTTTTAAAAAGAACAGAGGAGAAATAATAATACAGAATTATCTTTGAATTAAAATAATGATAGTAGAATAAATGAGCAAAATAAAGTTACATTTACGAGTCTAGTAAGGCTGAAGAACATTAGAAGTCACTAACTAGGAGTGGTGTATAAATTTTAAAAATTTTCCAATGTTTATTATTGAAATTCACATTAGTGATTAAGAAAAAATTAAGTTACTTAAAATTTTACTATAGGTTTAAAATTAAAATATTAAACCTATGTAAATAGAATTTTAAGAATAAATCTTGTTAGTCAAAATACTGATTGATGAAGTGAGAGCCATAGCCATAAGACCTTAATATTTCAATTCTTTATGCTGATTTTATTTATCATGATGTTTTACTTCATTATTATACACTGTATATTATGCTGAAAATACTGTATCAAACAAATTAGATTTATTTATCAATACTTAGTAGAAAAGAGTCAGTTGTTGATAGATCATGAATAATTAAATAGTTGTTTCAATCACTTTCAGTAAATGCCCTTTTGAAATTTGAAGGATAAATTCAGCCAAGTAGTTTCTTCAAGTGAGAAAGGATTCTTATTGTAGGATGTTTTAATAATAAAGACCTCTGAATTCCATTAAAATATTTTTTAATTTGCTCAACTTTCACCTTCAGAGCTTCTTCAGTAACTGGCACACATCATGTATTGTACATAGATCTAAAAACACTTCTGCCACTTAGTGTTAAATTGACAACTTCTGAATTAATACTTGATTTCATTTGTCATTTTATTTATGATCTTCTACATGAGGAATAGATCACTTTGAAATCTGTGTTTGTGTGTTGGCTTTTTAATAGGAAGTATTGGCAAAAACATTAAGTGGGGAAACTTTTTAGTGGAAGTTGAAGTTCATTGAAATTTGTGAAAATTAATGAATTATAACTTCATAAAAACTGAACTATATATGCAAATATATGATGAGTAATACCTACAATCTGTTTTTATTCTAATGAATTAGAGTGGCTGGGAACCAAACCAGGTTCTAGAAGTAATTATGGACAGAGTGACATCCTACCGTCCTTTAATCATCTTTATAGATGGCATAGATCAGATTGCTTCATTTAGCAGTAGAGATCTTAAGTGGCTTCCAGCTGAAACACCTAAATATGTAAAACTGATACTTAGTGTTCGGGATGAAACTGATGAGTATCAGGAGATTAAGGTGGGTAGCAACACTGAAATTTAAAAGCAATGATCAAAAATAATGGGTTAAGTCCCTTTTAAGAATTTTGGAAAATTTTTGCAATATGCCTTATGAACATATTATTTGTACCATTTTCCCTCCTGTTACGAGTAAGGAAGAGGAAGATTAGGGGCATTACTTATGTTAGTTTGTGTTGAAATGTTTATTTTGAAATAGTGTTCAAAAATACTAATAAAAAAAAAATGCACATAGCATTTTTAATTTTACTACTTTAATATTTAGAGGAATTTCATGAAAGGTTAAATATAATCCTAGTGGCTGTTGATATCAACTCCCTTATTTGTCTTGCTTTTTCAAATCAGTTGGTCCAATTATCAGCAACTTTTAAGAAACATGAGGATTTTCTTTTACCATATATGTTGAATGAGGAAATAATCTTAATACAATAATTTATCAAGCCCGGTATCCTCAGTGTCACAATTGTGTTTGATCACCGAGTTATGTAACTCAAAGAAAATATGATGTATTGAAAAATGAGCTTAGTCATATGCACTCTAGGATTATCTTTATTTGCATAAAAACAGGAAATATGAAAAATTTGTGGTTTGTTGTGCCACCCTTAACAGAATGAAATTTGGCAATAAACAACAATAACAAAAAAAAAACTATTGTTGATATTATTATTTTCCGTTTGACAGCACTATATGTATTTTATTCATTGGTGAGATGGCTGATTTTGGTTAATGCTGAATTTTTATTTTATTTGAGGGGGACTAAATTCCAAATTAAAAGTACTAAATTATTAAGCTAATGCACATATACTAGTTAGTCTTTTTACTGCCTGTAAAAACATGCACGTTTCTCATTTTCATAATTTCATATGCAGAATTGTATAAATACAATGAGATAAAACCTTTCTGTTTTCAAGATGTATTTAAGCTACTGAAACAATGAATTTTTTATTCTAAAAAACTATATGTACTAATTCATTATAATATATTATTTTTCATTCTGTTGTGCAGGGTTTAATAACCAAGTTTTTTTTTCTATAGATAAATCAAGATCTTAATATGTTTACCATTTTGAATTTAATTCATGGTATGCAATGTTAACAGTCTAGGAATGGATTCTTGCTTTTAATTTGAGTTTGACATAATTATTTTGTGTGTGTTGTATGTGTATATATACTGGATGTATTTATATAATACTTGCTTTATTTTATGAAACCTTCAAAATTACTCAAGTGATATTTGAATAAGAGAAAATTTTGCTTGATGTAATACAATACACACAATTTATTTCAAATTATGATTTATAGCTGTACATGATTAAATAAATTTTAACAATTAAAAAAAATTCCAAACCATATTTTTCTATATATAGGTTTTTCATTATGAATGAAGTGGAAGAAAAAGGGATAATAATAATATGCTGATGATCTGATTAAGTTAAGATGACTTGTCTGAGTGAGGTATAGTTTTTTAAATTCATGTTTGGTTCCAAAGTACACATTTACTTTTGCTAGTTATTTATTAATATCACCTTTGTTGCTTCTCTGATTGGAAAAGAAATACTGACTAACAGGATATATTTGTTCTTTTGATGCCAAGTAAGTAATAAAAATGAACTCAGTGCCAAATTAAAGTTTTTAAGGTCATTTCCAGTAACAACTTATATATTTTGTTTTACCTTTTAGTTTAGGGGAAATTTAAAGTAGGAGATTCAGAATCATCATGAATAATACGATAGCTTATTCTTCTCGGTGAAAATAATTTTTAAACCATTAGCATGGATTTTATTTAGGTTTACTTTATTATTGAATATTTAAAGGGTGTTTTATTTCATTCACTGCCATCCTTTTCTTTATTAAGATATTTACACATTTGTCAAATTGCTGAAATCAATTTAAAGAAAGGAATGTTTTTCTTTCTTTCCAGAATAACGTGTTGAATGAAAAAAAAGGAAGTTTTCTTTTCGTTCCTGGTTTAGCTCAAGAGGAATGCCTCTCTCTTGTGGATGAAGTGCTGCAGAGAAAGGATCGAAAAATAACAGACCCACAGCATCAGCTTGTTCTTCAATGTTTTGACAAGTGTAGCTCTCCTCTCTATGCTGAGCTGTTAGCTCATCAGTGTTCAGAATGGGAAAGTGATCAAGGTGCAGATGATATAGTTATTAAATATACAAGTGAAGGGGTGTTTATGGACACTGTAACTGAAGTAGAAAAATGTTTAAGTGCTGCTACCTTAGGTTTTATACTTGGACTTTTAGTTACTGCAAAACATGGATTGTCTGATGCTGAAATATTAGATATTCTGTCCTGTGAGAAATCATTCTTAGATCACCCATTGCTTACTTCTAGTGCTTCTTCTCCTAGGTATTTTCCTTACTTGCTTTGGTATCAGATTAAGAGAAAACTGTTTGTGTTTTTCAAAACATCTATAGTTAGTGGTAAACATTTAATTTCTTGGAAAAATGATATGCTTAGAAGTTTGTGTAAAACATACTGTCATCATGTAGGTGTGGCTACAGACTCAATTATTTTGGCTCTAATTAACTACTTTCAAGGAAAGCATGGAAAAAGTAAGATGAAGGTTGATTCCAGTAAGGAAGAAACAGAAGAAAAGCTGAAGCAGTTAGTGCTAGACCAGCCAATATTCTATAATTCTCATCCAAACCGCCGAAAACTTGATGAGTTACCTTTCCAGTGTTTGCAACATTTTGATGACAGCTGGGTTAGGGAATACTTCCTTTTCAATACAGATTGGTTGTTAAGTAAGTTTCAAGGATCTGATCCTTATCAAATGCTAGAAGACATTGCCATTTATCAGTCTTGTGTTCCTTCTGATGCAGATGTATTCCTCCTACAGAAAGTCATCCAACTGTCCAGCTATGCCCTTCGATATGATGGCTCTCAGTTTTTATCTCAAGTGTATGGTCGACTTTCTCGAATTATAGCTGAAACAACTGACAGAGGACAGTTTCCTTCGATTAAAGCTATCTTTCATACAGCTTCTTTGCCTCCAATTCCTAGCCTCCTTCCTCTCATACCTTGTCTAAAAGAACCACATTTAGAGCATCAAAATTTTCAAGAGACTAGTGATAGAAAAACTGGAAGATCTTTTTGTGGTATTTATTGGTTGAAAAATGACTTAACTCATGTAATCTCACTTTCCATTGAAAGTGGAGAGATAATACTCTGGAATATTTATGAACAAACCCCTGTAAGAATTATTAAAGGTGTGACACAGCCTAGAAATATTCAAATGATTGATTCTCATCGTGCTTTGGTGTTGTGTAATCGGGAGCTTAAAGTTTATGACCTAAATGAAGGAAAACTTCTCATGAAGTTGAAAGGTGTGATGAACCAGAAAATGGCTTACTTTGGCCTTCATAGCGAAAACTATGTTGTAGCATTATCCAGAAACCGAATGTATTTGAATATGATGAATCTAGAAACAGGTGATTTGGAGACAACTTTTAAAGTTGGTGAGGACAGGTAAGATTCACTATGTAACTTGTAGAAAAAAATACTCTTGTTATACATACTATAAAGATTCAATTCAAAGGAAATTTTCTCTTTAATTATGATAATGTTCTTTAAAGGATGGAGCTTTGGCACTAACAAACTTTTAAAACTTAAATACTACGTTTGTACTTATAACATGTTGAAACTTTCTTACCATCAAAATAAAAACAAATATATAACTTCATCCTTGAAAAGTTTAATGCTGGTTTTATATCAAATTCACATCTAAGGCTTCAATGAGACATAAATGCTTTTCTAATTTAGAAATGGGTTACTTGTCTAAGTGACCAAGCCCATTGAGAGGGCAATGATATTTCCACAGGGCCCACTACCCACAAGTGAGCCCATGAGAGTGGCAGAAGATGTGTATGCAATGTAGGTCAGTAATGATCATTTATATAAACATTGATTCATATCAATTCTTCTCAGGAGCCCTGAGTGATGAATGGCTTTTTTAAATCATGTTAGTTTCCAAAATACACATTTACTTGTTATGTAATAGTATTACCTTAGTAAAACATTACCATCTATCATTCTTCTCTTATTAGCTCTCTAACTAACTTATAAAATCTGCTGTTACTTTTCTCTTGTCGAGAAAACATTTTGGAGAATGAAACTGAAAAATTAACATCTCTCACTGGCTTACCCTGTTTGAGTTTATGTTAATTATTATACATACAAGAAGGTGACTTTACAATAAATTTGGGTTAACATTGCTTCACAAAATACATTTATCTTCTAATTAATGCTTAAAAGCAAAGTTGAAAAAGAATTTTACAGTTTCATATTATACACTTTCCAAGGAATGAAAAAAATGTTAAAAGCGGATGAGGTATTTTACATTTTTTGTGTTTATTTCTACATTTTATAGAAGACCAGCTCAGTGTTCCTAAGAATGTTTACTATAATTTTAGATTAGATAACTTAATCAAGTTAAATACTCCTCAACTTTCATTGTAATACCAGTTTTTTATTTTGAAGAAATCGGGTCAGTCATTCAGAACAGTATTTTTTTTAGATACCAAATTGAGCCTGATTTTCATTTTTTTAGAATATGTATAATTTTTAGTTTTTAAACAGATGGTTTTAATTAAAAAACTTCAATATCATTTCAAACATTAACACTAGATATAAAGTTATGATTTCCATGCAGTTTTCATCACATTTGTAATCTAGATCAATTTATGTTTAGGTATTCACACATTGTTTGTTTGTTTAAGATTTCTGAATAGCTTACTTGTAAGTGCCAATGGAAGGATCTGTGTGTGTGGTGATGAAACACAAAAGCCTTTTCCACTGCTGGTCTGGGATTTAGCAAACAGAAAGCTAATGTATGATCTGCGAATACCACACCATGAATTTGTGACTCGTTTGTCGGCAATTAGTGCTGATGGACATTATGTAGCCAGTGTGTGTAGGGTGAGTAAAACGTTTCTTTGTTAAGATAACATTTCAGTCTTAACTGCCCCAGAATAGATTTCCAGTAAGAACTGTGTAACCAGGCATGGATTTAGTGAGCGTAAGACCCCTAAGCAATTGTGGTTTGTGAGGCACACATTTTGCAATTACTGAACATACATGATTGAAATTTAAAGAAGGAAAACTGGCTATCAAATTCCTAAAAATTTAATTACATACATACATATATATGTTAAGTAAATGCACCTTTTTAAAACACAAACATGTATTATTTATATATAATGCATATCAAATGCAAACATTTACACCCATAAAGTAAAACTGCCCAAGAAATGGGTGTATAACTAATTTTTGTGGGTGGTCTTCTGACGTCAATATCGATCATATCTCAAAGACTTTAAATGGAACTAGTGCATATGGTTCACTAGTGTTCCCAATGTTACAGTGAACTTCTTTAGGGGTTCTACAACTAGCAACTACATAGTCCCATCACTACACGCAGAATCTGTGGAAAATGCTTCACTTGTTTCACATTAGTGCTTTTCTACTCTTCAGTGCGTTAAAGTTCTCTGTCAGATCAGAATAACATATTTAGTTTGTTATATCCTTGTCAGTGATCTCAATCTTTCTTGGGAACAAAGGTACATCTTAATGAGCTTAAGTCAAGAAAAACTTCTTTCTGCATACACATTACAGTAAATCTCACATAAGCCATTGTCAATGATGAATATCAAATTAGTGCTAAGGGAGAAGAATCTGTACATCATTAATGTCACATGAACCCTCAAACCTGAGTATAATCTTGAGGTCTTTGCAATGTTTCAAAAGTTCTTCTTCTGTAATGGTTTGAAGTTCTGATATAATATACAAAAATCCAAAATTACCAACACACTTTCTAAGAGTCTCCAAATTGGTTTTAGTACTCACATGAATCATATCAATGATAACATTAATGAATCCTGAATAATTCGTTATAAACAATATCACTTAACTGATTATCGTTTAATGCCAAAACCCACTTACCAAGATCATTTAAGTTGGTTAGGGAAACAGTCTTGCCACCAAGAACAACAACTTTTGCTAAAAAAGTTGATAGAGCACTAGCTTCAAAGTCATCACACCTTCCAGATAATTGGAAACACAAGTTACTACTTCATTATACATGGACATATTGATGTCTTCAAACTTGTCATTTTTGCTTTCACAGTTGTCATCAATAAGATCTTGATTTTCACACTTTTCACTGACGTTATAGCTAGAATCAGTTTTCTTTTTCAAATACTTGCTCAAAAATCTTTTCAACTATTGTTGTGATTTTTCCTCATGCAGCACACTTTTTCCTTGTAAAAGCTCCCAATTCAAACTTTCTAAATTGATCACGATCTCTGATTGACATTTTAAATATAATAATACAGTGATAATTATTATTGTTGTTGTTTTTTATTCAAATAACACTGATCTAATTATTTTAGACATAGTTTAGAACAGTAGTCATAACAATGAGATACCAAGAATAAAATCAAATGATGACACCCATTGGCACTTCATGGAAACTGTCAACTGAGACAACAGCCCACTTGGCTGAAGGCACATATGCAGTATTGCCAAATTTCGTTTTTCAAAAGCATTTTCCAAATAAAGTTTGAATAAAAAAACAGCCACGAAACAACTTTCAATTCTCCAATAAGTAAGCACGAAGTCCTTAGAGGGGTGAGGGCTTAGGCAGTCACCTGGCCTTAAATCTGTGCCTGTGTGTAACAATAACATTTTCACTCGGAACTGTTGCTCATCAAGTTGGATGTGTTATATAAAATAGTTTTAATGAAATGCTAATTACAATAGTCAAGCATGAGATATTTAATTACTAGTACCTTGTGTATGTTGCTAAGGTCTGCAATACAGAACTTATCAGGTTAGAAAAAAGTGGTGAAAAATCACAGGATGACTGTTATTGAGTTTTATATTTTAGAAATTTTTAAGGTTATTATATATATATAACGATATGTCTACACACATTCTACCATAAAAGGAGTTAATTCTTTAAAATTTTGTAACTTGAACTGATCCTTCCTAGATATTTTAAGTGTGGTGCAACGATAGCAGTGCTATTAATTAAGGTGATATAAAACCAAGCCAAAGTTTACAAATAATTTACTTTTTCAAACTACTAATGTTCAGTAATTACTTTTGTGGTATAGTTTATATTTGAATTTTATAATACTAAAAAAAATATAATTTTTTAAAGTAGAAACAAATGACAAAAGTTGTGGCACTAGTTTAATCATGTCTTAAGAATTACTAAGCCTTTTTATTTAATAGAAAACAATTTTTTGTGTAACTTAGGAAATTAATTGGTATAGATGTCTAAAATCAAGTTTTGTTTTACTTCTGTTTATCAGATTTCATTCAGATTGAATTATAGACATTCCTGGTAGTTTTAATGATTATGAGCAGAGAAATGACTACTTTGCAATAGGTATATTTTTACCTTGCAAAACGCCCCCCAGTGGTATGTCTGCGGACTTACAATGCTAGAAACCGGGTTTCGATACCCGTGGTGGGCAGAGCACAGGTAGCCCATTGTGTAGCTTTGTGCATAAATTCAAACAAACAAACAAACTTTAGAATTTTGATTAATATATATATATATATATATGTGTGTGTTCATTGAGCTAAATACCTTATGCATGAATGTATAAATGAATGCTCACATTAAGCTATAACATTCCTATTGAGCATAAATGCTACATTTTTTAATACAAAATCTGTGTCTGTGGAGATGTTTTTCTTTATCAAAATGATCTATTTTAACATGGAAGCTTAGTGTGAAGTATTGATGTGATTTTCAGTAAACACTTCATAGTAAAAGTGTTATTATGTATGCATCAAATGTATTATTAACAAATATTTCTAAGTTAACTTGCAAATTGTTATGATTTCCTGTGCAATGTTTACAGAACATTATTATTGACTGAGTCAACATTACAGTTTATCACTAACATAGATTAAATTGATTTAAATATGAAACTGTTAATAGTATATTTTTTCTTTTTAAAAAAAACAACATTGTTCAATTCATACTAATTTCTTTTTTCACTTTCTTTGTAGGAGATAAATGATAGTACCCCTAATTTCATTATTGTGTATGATCTTCAAAGTGGTACTTTGTTTAAGAAATGGAAGCCTGAGACTAGCAGCTGCAGCATTGCCATCTCTTCACAAGGAGGTTGTGTGGTAAATGGATTAGAAAACACGTGGATCTTAGTGTGGGACTTGGCCACTGGTGGCCGCAGGTATATTGTATATCAACCTAACTAATTAAATGACAAAATATATGTTTATCTGTGGGAAATGTTTAATACATTATTTACAGGGTGACTCCTATTAATTGAAAAAAATCACACAATGTCAGTTAATGTACCTTATGGAACTAACAGTATGATCATTTGGTGCTGTCTTTTGAAACTTGCATGATGAATGTTTTAAATTATTAAACTTCACATACAGAAATGTATTTCTCCAATACAGTTGCCATTTTGAACACGCAAGTTTTTGCTAACACCTGGTGGATTTATAAAACAAAGTTCATTGACCCTGTACTGGATGAATAAATTGTGAAATACTCTGTAGATAGATTAAATTGTGATTAAAAAAGGTATTTGATATGGAAATACTTGTTTTTGAGAAACTGCAAACTTGCTTACAGCTGCAATTTTTATAATGTTTTGTAAAGCTATCTTATATTTTTTTTGTATTATTTGAGCAGAATGACAAAATAGCAAGAAATTACTGAACATCGATTAAACCAAGCAAGATACTGTGTTGACTAATTTCACACATGTTGCTACATTTGTAAGTTAGTACAAACTCCTAAATTGTCTGTTCAGTGAATTAGTTCACTTCTTAAATTATTTTGAAGAGTTATACAAAGACTTCTGTGGTTGAATTAAGAAAAAGGTAAATGATAAACTGATGTTTCAGACTGGAACATCTCTTCTTCTGGTGATTTTTAAATCACCATAGGAAGGTTGCCCCAGCCCAAAACATCATGAACATTAAAAACATCTGTTTATCATTTATCTCGCTTGATTTTGTTAATGGTATATGTTTTTTTCACTTTTTAAATTTTGCTTTAATTATGTCGACACTAATACGTCCGTTGGCTATATTATACTTCGTATATTACATGTATCAAAGATTACTTCTTCATCTGATTGACAACATATATACATATGTAGCCAGTTAAAATACTAAGTTTTAACCCAGTAGCAAAATGTTTATTATAATTAACAGTGATCTATGGGAAGTATACTTGATTAGTTGCAGAAAATGGGAAGTTCAATGCGCTGGTAAAAACTTCACAATGTTAATGTGAAAATTTAAATGGTTTATTTGATAAACTTATGGAAAGAGAAAACTATTGGATTAAAACACTAGTTGCAATTTACCCTGAAAACCTTATCTTAGACCTCCATCATACCAGGTGTTTTAGTGCCCCCTATGGTAGGAGGGTTACGCCATATAGATAATGACATCCCTGGGCCACTCGCATTCATCTACTTGGATTGGTTCTCCTTCTAACTCTAGAACTGTATGATTGAGCTCTTTTTATATATAGTTCCATATATGTTGTATAATATTATGTTATTAGTTAAGTTATATATCTTCTTTTTTTTTGGTAATTACTTTATCATATTTACCAGTGTTGTAATTCTCTTTTCTAAGTCTTGTTATTATTATTATTGAACTTTATCAAATCTTTTTGTGTTTATTTATCAACTGTTACTGAAGACTTAACTTTATGTTACGTCTCTGTTTGTTAATTAACTTTCCGTAACTTTGTTCCGACAAAACTTAAGCGACACAAGTGCTTTCTTGA